TAAGATCTAGCATAGCCACAGGCAGCTTCTAGGCCCAGTTAAGTTCCCAGGAAGTCAGGAGAGTGTTTTTGCAGATTCCATTTTAACATTTATAGAATTCTTTTCCCAAGATGTTGATCTTATTAAATTATACACAGAATGGTGAATAAGCAAGGTCACTGGTACCCCTCAAAAGCATATTTGAAAAGATAACAGAATGAAACAGACATTATTACTGTATGTATATATGTGACTACATGACCAATATGATTCTGCAACATTGTACACCCAGAAAAATGTGAAATTATATCCCATCTATGTCAAAGTGCATAAGTGCATATATACTGTCATGTATAATTAATTAAAACAAATAAAAAAATTTTAAAAAGCACATTTGAGGCTTCACTTTTGATCACAGTCAGAGAGATGGTGGCTGGTTTCTTGATGTAGTTTAAATCATATCCACTTGGGGGAGCTTTATGATTGAATTTTAAGATCCACGTCAGGTTTCTTTCTTTTCTTTCTTCTTCTTCTTCTTTTTTTTTTTTAAATGTGCCACATGAGATCCAGATGACTCCCCCTCCCCACTGCAGTGACAAGCTACTGAAGCAAGCAATGGTTGCAGAAATACAATGATAAATCAGTGTGAGTGGTTTTACTTTATTGGCAATTCCTCCCTCTGGATTTGGAAGTTATTCTTGATTTTTAAAAGCTTCTTCCCCTTCAAACTAAAATAGTTTAAAGATAAAATAAAGAATAGCAGTACTTTCTGCTCTTTCTTGCATGAGTGTTCTGCATATGTATGCAGACATCAATGCATATTTAAATAACTGCATGTCCCAGTTGATTTCAAATAACCAAACCACCAGAAAAAAAAAAAAATCTTTGAACTTTTAAGAATATGGTCAATTGCAAGGAAGATAAAATCATGAAACCAAAAGTCTGAACAGAGAATGATGTTTTCCTGGGTATCCAGCATGGAACTCTCTGTCAGCCTTCCTCTGTCTCACATAGGTGGGGCACAGAGAGGTCTAATGAAGGACAATCCATTGCTGCCCGGGCATAAGTCCAGGTTCCAGATGGTCTTTGGGGTCTACCCAGATTTGGACGGTTTTGAAATCATAGAAAGCTAGTTAGGGTTCCTAATTAGGACATTTGCTAGAGAGTGTTGTCACAATATGGATGCATTATTAACCCATTTTACTATGGAATAAAATGAAACCAATTATGAACCCCCATAAACAAGTGTGCCTCTTCGTGTCCACCTGCCCACACAGAGGGAGCTGGAAAGGGTTTCTCAAAGAAAGATGGCCTCGTTATTGTCTAAATCCCAGCCTTATTCTTTCCCCTTTTCTCCTTTGTCCTCTTCCTTTGATTTGGGATGATAGATTCTCTTCTTTACTTAGTGCCCAGTTCTTCTATTACATATGGCTTTGCTATCTTGGTAAAGCCTTTCTTATTTTTCCTTCTGTCTTTCCAGAGGAGGAAAAGAAGCATCTGGAGGGGGGGGGTCACTTTTCAATCTCTTGTCCATTGGTGAACGGTTTCCCTACGTCTGCACAGTGGCACGGTTTCTCTCCTTATGGATCATGCTCAGCCTGCACAGTGGCACGGTTTCTCTCCTTATGGATCATGCTCAGCCAGCCCAGTGGGCTCAGCATCTCTGTTTCTGTCTCTGACTCTCTCATTGGACAGACCCACCTGTCTAGACTCAAGTGTCACACTCTGCCCGTTGGGGATATTTCTCAGGAACCTGCTCCTGTGAAGACCAGCAGCCCCTGCCCCATCCCCTCTTCTCCATTGTCATTGGTCACATCCATAGACTTTTCCTTGTCTGCTCAGTGGAGGGGAAAAATGTCACTTTGCTTCCTTGGAACCCTGTTGTTCCTACCAGGATGACTTTTCTCTGAGACGTGGGGAAACTTCCCACTCCTATTTTTACAGTATTTTCTGGCCTTTTAATTTTAATGTAATAGTTTCCAACCTTTTTCTTTTAAACTATGAGACTCTTTTTTTTTAGAACTAAATTTACACAGAAGCGCCACCCCGTGTGCACCTGGCTTCAAGGAGCCCTGCGCAGATCATTTTCTAAGACAGCTTCCAGACCCTGTGCAGTGGGCCTTTGCTGCTCTTCCATCAAGAGATGGAGTCTGCTTCCTTCCCCAAAATCTGGTGGCCTTGTGTCTTGCCTTGACGAACAGAATGTGCAGGAAGGGATGCTGAACAAGCCTCAGCCTGGGCCTCAAGGGATCCTGCAGTTTCTATTTTAGTCCTTTTTTTTCCTTGCCCTAAGACCACCAGGTGAAGAAGTTGCTCTAGCTCAGCAGGGATGGGAGGAGACCTGCATTTAAGGGCACAGAAAGGCTGATCTGCTGTGATGGCAGCAGAAGATCCCCCAGGGTACCTTAGTGAACCCCAAGCCTGTAGATCAGAGGACCAGTGCTTTAACACACTTAAGTGCTTCTGGATGCTTTCAGTCATCAGTATCAGTCAAACTGATGCGGTATATGATGCCGCTTTCCTCCTGCAAGTGGGTGGTTTTTAAAAGTCCTAGTTAAACAACAGGAAGGAGGGCTGGGGCTGGGGGCTCAGTGGTAGAGCACTTTCCTCACATGTGTGAGGCACTGGATTTGATTCTCAGCACCTTATATGAATAAATGGATAAAATAAAGGTCCATCAATAACTTTAAAAAAAAACACAGAAAGGAGACAAGATCTAGTGCTACTATTGACACATTAATGTTAGACTTAGTGCCTGTTTTCTATTACCACATTCTCACTCCTTACCACGTGTTGAGTTCTGTGCTGAGCACTTCACATACAATGTCCTATTAAGTCTTCTGGAAGACTTGGCAAAGCTGGTAGGATTGTTTTCATTTTACAGGTAAAATGGGAACTCAAAGAAGTTAAGACATCAGCGCTGTGGCATTGCACAACTCCAGGGTATGCTATTCATACTGTTGTCTGTCTCAATGGTGCCCCCTACTGTTGTGCAATTTACATGGTAGTCCTACCCCAAGTAACACCCTAACAAGTGGAAGAACTGGGATTTTAGACTGCAAAGCCTTCATTTTAACACTTCATTATATATTACTTTAATAATCTTTGACTTCTCTAAGCTACCTTATTTCTTCTTTTTCTATACATTTGTTCATCTATCCAATCGCCTATTTATTTGTCCATCTGTCCATCCACCTATCCACCCAAACATCCTTCCTTCCTTCTCTTTACCTCTCTATACACCCTCTTGCCTACACATTCAATTTAGAGGAACCATTAAATTTTCTATAAAAGGTCTGAATATTCAGTTTCTTAAAATATACCTAGAAACGTTAATTTTCTACTGCTTTTTAAAAATTCATTTGAAATATGAAATCTAATTGTAGACTATTTCAAACATTTAGAAAAGAAAACAAATTTCTGGAAAACCATGTGCCCATAATCCAGATTTCACATTGTACCTGATTTGCTTCCAATTTCCTTTTTAAAGAAAGAAGATAGAAAAGAGCCGAAGCCCTGCCTCTCGCTCTCACTTCTTTCCCCATGGTGTGTCACATCTGTGTCATATTCACATGTGTGATCTTATATTTTTACTGGATCTGTAGGTATCCATGAGTGATATTGAATGTTATGATAATATTATTTTGAGTTTGCATTTTCTTAAAATTTTTTTTAGTTGTAGTTGGACACAATACCTTTATTTTATTTATTTTTATGTGGTGCTGAGGATCATCGAACCCAGCATCTTGCAGGTGCTAGGCGAGCGCTCTACCTCTGAGCCACAACTCTAGCCCCTGTAGTTGGTATTTACATCAGTATGCTTTTCAAACATGCTTTTATCTTTCAACACTATAATTTTTGAGATTTATTCCCTTTGACCTGTGTATACAGATCCCATCAGGCAGTGATATGGGTAAGGGCAACACATATTACCATGGAGGCTGGGAAGGGTTTCATGGAACAAAAGGCTTTGGAGCCAAAGAAATGAGAATAAGATGTTTACGCTAAACCTGGGCAAGCAAATGGAATGGTGTGTAGATGTGTGCACACGAGCACAGGTCTGCTCTCTGCAGAGGGCGAGAAAGGATGTTCCAGGCAGACAGAACAGCATGTGCAGAGATCTGGAGGCTAAAACAGAGCGTTGCTTATTCTGGGTGCTGTCAAGAGCCCAGTTTATTTGGAGGGAGGAATTTGGGAGGTGGGGTGATTAGAAACGAAGCCAGAAACAGTGCCTGGCACTTGGCTGTCATTATTATTTGTTGAATAAATGAATGATTAAAAGCTTTTAGTGTTACAAATGCAATCATGAGGCCAGCCTTTAATTAACTGGAAGTTTTAAGGCATTGTTCCTTATTGTAAGCAGGGCTCCCCAAATCTCTTTGATCCCAAACTTTGTTCCTGAACCTATGAAGATAATATAAATGAGTCTTATTTCCCTATATCCATAAGCACAATTTTGTAAGCACAATTCAGTCTTCTGCAATGGAGGCTCTTTTTAGTCTTGTAACCCCAAGTTAGAAAGTTATAGGGCATTCTTTAAGATTAGACTGTTGAGACAGCTGATTTAGAAAATCGAGTCAAATGAACTTATTCCTTCTAAACACAGGTCATGTAATACAGGTCATTTGTGCTTAGGATGGATTTGGGTAAGACACAACAATTATGAATTTAATTTTTTTTTCATTGATTCAAGTCATTTGTTAGCACTACTTGAAAATAATTTTATTCTTAAAAATTATTTTTACTAAATGGATCTATGTTTCTTTCAAGGCTTTAATTCATGCAGTGGTGGTTTCTGACCATATCTGATTGGGATTTTATAGTCATGAGACTGAGGACAAGGTCAACATGTGGGGATCCCTTTCCTCTGCGTTAATCAGCAAAGGCTGGAGGTAACCAGGCTAGCTGTCTCCCCGTTTGTTATTATTATTAATGCTCTCCAGGCTTATCTACGATGATCTGTAGCTAACTTCTCAAAGCAATTCAAAGCATGTAACAGACTCTAATAATAATAGCTGCTCTTCACATGTAGAATATTTATTTGGGCACTTGCTGGCATAGCCAGGGCTCTGGTGGAATGAATTTCCTAAGCCTTAGAAAGTCAGTGCTCCTGGGTGCCTTTGTGGTCTCTTTCCACTGACTGATCTCCAGTCATTGTGGTGCTGCTGGGGTGTTTCAGAGAAAGCAGAACTAGGGATCCCTTTGTGGCTGCAGGAAGAGATTTCTTTATTCCAAGCTAGGAGCTGTGTTTGTCATGGGGATGGAGTAGAAGGTATTCAGGTAGGTCATAACAAATCCCGTCTTGCTGTTCAACTACTGGGAAGTTGCTGGAGGGGAGGGAGATGTATTTTTGTCATCTTGAATTAAGATTTGTGTTTTTCGATAGGATTTATGTTGCAAATAATAATTAGGTTTTCAGGGTAGCCCACAAAATTCTATTTGCTTAAAATGTAGCTGAAGAAAAAATATGATGTAAACACAATCTGCATGACAGACTAAAGCAGAGCTTCTCTGGTTGAAACTAGTTTGGCCTCAAAGTCTTGAGTCTTGGTCCTTGAAATTCACTTTCCTCTTAGGCTTGCTTCACTCATCTCTGGGCTACCTCCCCTTCTGTCCTGAGGAGTGATGAGTGCTTTTACTGCTCCAGAGAGGATACATAACTATATGGTCAGTTTTCCAAGATCAAAGAAACATTGAGAATGGATTCAATAGCAGCAGCAGCAGCAGCAGCAGCAGCAGCAATAACAACAACCAAAAGAAAGAATAGTAGTTTTTGTAAACTGGTCTGCCCATCAATGTGAATTTGTTGTACAAGTACCACCCAGGAAATATAAAACTGATTTTAAAAACAATCTAGGGCCATTCCTTAAAATTCCAATTCAGTGCCGGGTATGGTGGTGCATGCCTGTAATCCCAGCGGCTCAGGAGGCTGAGATAGGAGGATCACGTGTTCAAAGCCAGCCTCAGCAAAGTGAGATTCTAAGCAACTCAGTGAGATCTTGTATCTAAATCAAATACTAAAGGGGGCTAGAGATGTGGCTCAGTGGTGAAGTGCTGTTGGGTTCAATTCCTGGTACCAATAGAAACAAACAAACAAGCATCCAATTCAGTGAACCTAGACTGGTTCATGCAGAATCTGTATATTAAAAAGCTGCTCCAAAGGATTAAGGTCTGCAGCCATATTTGGAAATCTCTGAAATTGGGTCATCTGGCTTCCTGGGTCACACACTAGGCCTTCAACTGGTAGCTACCTCCTGGGCTTCCACCCCAGGGCAGGAGACAGATTCAGACACATGGAGTTTCCTAGACTTTCCAAGGCTTGCTGCCCCCTACAGATTGGTTTCTTACCTGAAAATTTCTCATTCCCCTTACTGTCAGCAGAGATTTCCACAATCTCCTCCTCCCCGGCCTTTGCCTCACCTCTGGCCTTAACAAAACAAACATAGCAGAAGAATACAATGCGTTTAGTCTCCCCTGGAATAAAACCACAGATGAGACTGGAAGAGGCTGTTTTCTTATTACTCACCTGGGACCTGGTTCCTTAACATTTATATTCTTTTGAAAAAAAAAATGTACTCTAAGTCTGAATCAGCCACTGAAAGGAACAATCACAGCCACTCAACCTTTTGGGATAGAACCCTTAGACCTACACGTGATTCTGTGTTTTGTTGGTGTCATCAAGATAGGCCTCTTGGTTCATGACATGGTGCGTCCTTGTTAGCATTGAAAACACTAGGTTCTAGATCCTAATGGAAACAGGGGCTAGAGAGGGAGGAAATGGAAAGGAACTGAGAAATGGATAGAAAGAAAAAATAGATTTAGAAGGATGATTTTGGTGAATGGGATTTTGGGTCCTGGGTGAGTGGAATAGGGTGGCTAATAATCATAGCTACAATGTTGTGCCGAGTACTGTACAGAATTCCTATCATTTAACCCTCTCGACAGCCCAAGAAAATAGCTGTGATCATTACCCCCAGTAAACAGGGAATCTCACATGTGGCTAAGTTAAGTAACTTGCCTTAGGTCATATAACAAGTGCAAGGGTTGGACCCAGATTGAAATCACTCAGGCAGATAGCTGCAGAAACGGAACTCTGGTGTGCCTTTGGGTTGTTGTTACAGATGTTATTGTGAATGAGGTATTTGAAGCAAATCCCAGTCCTATATCATTTCACTCCTACATACTTCATTTTGCATTTCTAGAAACTATGGATACTTTTCTTATGTTACCATAATGCCATTATGATACCCAACAAAAGTAACAGTAATTCCTTGATATTTCATAGAATCCAATTATCTTCAAATTTCTCAGATTGCCTGAAGATGTCTTTGTTAAAAATCTCAATTCATACTCATCAGGATTCATTTAATATTCTACACATGACAAGTGTTATTTTACTCAACCTTATTTTCTCAAGAAAAGACCCATCTCTTTAAAAACTATGCCATTAACGTGGGTGGGCATGGTGGCTCACACCTGTAATTCCAGCTATTCTGGAGGCAGAGGTCAGAGGATCACAAGTTCAAGGACTGCTTGGGCCATTTAGCAACACCATGTCTCAAAATGAAATTTAAAAAGGGCTTAGGATGTAGCTCAGTGGTATATTTGTTTAGCATGTATAAGGCCCTGAATTCAAGCCCCAGAACACACACACACACACACACACACACACACACACACACACACACACACA